CGTTGCCCCATTTTGCCTCCATTAAAAATGTCTGTGTATTTCCAGAAAAAAAAAAACAAAAAACATAAAGGGGTGGGAATTAAAGGGAAGTTATTGTATAAAATCAAAGTTGTAGTCAGTGTAAAATGGACTTTTATGTCTAGATGAAGTTTTACATAAGCTCCAGTAACCACACAGCAAAAAACCTACAATAGATTCACAAGAGAGGAGAAGGAAGATGCAAGGAAGAAAGAATTCTACCCAAAATCTCAGAGGGTGGTGGCCCTTCTGATACCTTGATATAGGACTGTGATGCAATAAATTTCTGTTCTCTTAAAAAACAAACAAACAAACAAACAAAAACCACCTATGTATAACTAATCCATATGTATAAATAACGCATATATATAAATAACCCATATGTATAAGAAACCCATATGTATAAATAACCACTTTTTTAGCAGGAAGCTGAGCATATCCGGCACGGAGCATATCAGGCTCTTCCCCAGATCACACTTGTTCCAGTGACCCCACAGCTATAAAGCTCACATCCCTCCACATTATTTACTCTTTTCCTTGTGAGAATCAAGTAGAAAAACAAAGTACTATTCAGGGAGTTCAGCAAAAAGCATTTTATCGAGTGTCCTCTAATTCATTTTCTTAAATGATTAACATAGACAGAAATGACTTTGGAAAGAGATGGGGGGTGGGGGGGACAAAAACAAAGCAAGAACATCACCTTCCGATGATCAGTATGAAACTGCTAACCTGTGAATGATTCACTTGGGAACCAACTGAAAAAAAATTAAATTTACTGTGAATATGAAAAAAAAAAGAGTTATTTGAGACATCAAAACAAGGAACATATATGCACTGAAGAGGGATGTTTCAGTTGATGAAATGGCTCCAGCAAGCAGTCTGGTGCTTGGCAGTTCATTTGCCACCTGGCATAGACCCAGAATTTTTAAAAAAGAGATTTCAACATTAATCCCTAGTGTATTTTTGTTAAAGTTCCAGTTAAATAAGGTTAGAAAAGGTACACTTGTTTTAAAAAAATTTTTTTTCCTGAGAACTGGACAATGTTAAAAATTATAGCAAAGCCTTTGGATAGGTAACCTGCATTACAGAATGTAAGATTTAGACTATAATCTTAAGAAATACAGGATAATTGGACCAAAGACCACCAAAAAAAAAAAAAAGATATAATTCAGACATATTGTTGAAATAAGGTAAATAAGGGAATCCTATAATCATCTCACCTCCTCCTAGAAATTTTTCCTAGTCAATAACTTGTGCCACCTTCTCGATTGCCTTTAAAAAAAATTGCATTTCACATCCTCAGTGACCCCCCCTCCCCAAACACACACACACACTGCAAATTTTTGAAAGAGAGAGAGAGAGAGAGAGAGAGAGAGAGAGAGAGAGAGAGAGAGAGAGAGAGGAGAGAGAGAGAGAGAGAGAGAGAGAGAGAGAGAGAGAGAGAGAGAGAGAATGGGAGGGGCAATTTCACCTACTATACAAGGACTTAACTGTCCAGCGGGCTGGCCTGCCTAGGGGCGCGAGTAATGATGGAAGCGTCTTCCAACAGCCAAATCCATGAAACCCTAAAAAAATAGGCTCAGTGCTCCCATGAGTGGGGTTTTGTGGATCTCCCGGTTGCCCAGGGTGGTGAGTGTGGCGATAACCTTAACTCAGGTCCTCAGAAGCAAAACCTAGCAGTCACACACAAACTCACCACAGTGCTCAGGGTTGCTAGGGACCAAGACTGGTTGCTAAGGACGCTGTAAGAGCTGCTCTTAGAGCCTGAATGTTGCTCTTTTAGCAGCTCCTGACTAGGTTTAACCAATCAGGACCTTTAAGTGCAATTCCACCGTCCTTTCCCCGCCTTCACCACATTTGTGTTCAACATCGAACAAATAGATGCAATTATAGGTGAAAGACCTTCATTAGCTTTAAAGTATAATCATAAAGCACATAGTAATGATTCGGTTTTAATACTGTACATACGTTAGCTATCCGGCAGTAGCTGCAGCGAGAACTGGAATGACAGTGCCAGTGTCCCCTCAATGCCTAAATACCCCCTCCATGGCCTCGTCCCCCAAAACATAATAATCTACACTTAAAATTAAAACAGCATACTTATACAAAGGTAGCTGTTTCTTTTAACCAAATTGCTGTTCAAAGGCTCCTTTTACATAGAAAATTTGGATCTAATGGTGGATAAACAAAACATCCAGGGTGTTCTGTAAGTATTAACCACAAGGGGGCAAATTTCAATTCAAAAGAATGCCTATTTTTGTAGATAGTATCCATTAGTATTTTCTAATTCAAATCCTTATAAAATTCCTGTCTACCAAGTGATGAGCAACTTCAACTTCAAAAACACCACAAATTTTGAGGAATTCTGATTAACTTTAAAGTTAATTTACAGAGATTGTTCTTGTTAAGTAAATTGCCTTAAAATATTAAGAACTTCAAGACACTTTAACTGATGAAAACTTCAGATACATCAATCCAAAATTGTTTCTGTTCATAACAAGGATCAGGTAAGTCTTGTGATTTTATAGCAAATTTTTATATTTTAAACAGAAAGTATTAACCCAAACCAGAATGTATAACACCAAGAGTGAACTCTTAAACTGTGAACTTTGGACAATTATGATGTGTCAAGTTCATCAATTACAACAAATATACCAAATGGTTGGTTATTGATAATGCAGGAGGCTATGCATGTGTGGGGGAAGGGAGAGTAGGGGAAATCTCTGTACCTCTTATTTTGTGTGTGTGTGTGTGTGTGCATGTGCGTGTGTAAACTTAAAACTATACTAAAATATAATAAAAATGTAAAATTAATTCATTCACTTTAAAAAGTAATAAAGTTTGAAAAAACAGAAATTACAATATCCAGTCCCAGGCTTCTCTGAAACACATTTCTCCTAAAAGATCAGTAAGTTGAGGGTAAAAATAAAACTAAGATATAGCAGAGAGAACAAAAACATGGTCTCTCTGTTTTCAAAGACTGAATAAGGCTGACAACTTCCAGAATGATAATCTCTTGTTCGTATAACCATTATCCCTTTACATTTCATTTTTATGATTTGCCTCTTCATGTCCTTTGCTCACATTTCTACTGATTTCACTTTATTGGTAAGAGCTTTTTTCTTTTATTTTCTTTTTTTACAATAAAGTGACCCATTTTCTAAATCATGTTAAAAATGTGACATTTCCCAATTTGTGACTCATTTTTCAATTTTGATTAAAATGTTTTTCCTTTTTTATTTATCTAGAAATTTAAGCCCTAATTGGTTTGGCTCAGTGGATAGAGCGTCAGCCTGTGGACTCAAGGGTCCCAGGTTCGATTCCGGTCAAGGACATGTACCTTGGTTGCGGGCACATCCCCAGTAGGGAATGTGCAGGAGGCAGCTGATCGATGTTTCTCTATCATCAATGTTTCTGATTCTCTATCCCTCTCCCTTCCTCTCTGTAAAAAAAACAATAAAATATATATTTTTTTAAAAAAAGAAATGTAAATGTACCATGGTCAAATTGATTAGTCTTTCCTTAGATGGCTTTTTGCTTTATTGTCGCTTTTAGAAAGTTTTTCAATCTATTTGAAAAATATTCACCTTTTATTTTCTTTCTGTATTCAATATTTTTTAAAAGGGAAAAATACAGTATATTATAGCTGGAAATTATTTGGGAATAAATTGCGAGAGGGGGCTGTTACTGTATCTCCCCTCAACTGGCTACCCAGTTGTCCTCCTTTTAATAATTCATCCTTTCTTCACTGATAAGAATGTAAATTGTAAGATGCCATTGCTTTTACTGGTGTATTTATTAAAAGCATACACACACACATACACACACACACCCCTTTTCCTCCTTTTCCTTTTAATAAATAAATAAAATTTTGGATCTGAGCTAGTCCCATCTTTGAGCCAATATTCCTAAGGAACAGGGAAATATTATTTTATTGCCATGTGCAGTAAAACTGTAACTAATACTGGTTACATAGTCACTTGGTACTCATCCTCAAGTAATACTGGATACACATTTTAAGGGAAAGACTACATACATTTGCCCAAGCCCCATCACAACTCAAGCATGTCAGTCCACTTCAGACGAATTTGATTATCGCTTTAAATAAAGGTTCCCTTCTAGAAGATTCAGAAGAGTGCGTCAGGGTTCTCTTCTGGACGCCCTCGGAATGCTGGGCCCCAGTGGGGGGAAGGGGCACAGGAAGAACCCACGGTAGGCTCAGTCAGATCTAGGGACAGGGACTCCGCCCGAAGAGCCCTTGGAGCTGATGAAAACAGGTAGTAGGGTCATTTTAATTTTCCAACTAAGGTCTTGATTTGTAAAGGTATAAATACCCTGATTTAGATGCAGCATAAAATACCCACAGAAGACTATTTGTAGGTCTTTTGTGGCCTTGGAAAAGCAAAATGCTTAATTCCTTAAGTCCCTGAGTGTAGTTTATGTTCATGGCGAGGAGCCGGAGAGGACAGAAGAGGGGGGTTGTCTCCCTGCACCTTCCTTTTTAATGCTTACTTACGCCGTCCACACCACTTCTGCGCTCACCGGGCCGAACTTATCTCGATTTTCCCTAAAACGCCAAGTGCGGGAGGCAAAGTTAGATGTGTTATTACAAATATCTCGCACCTGAGCAACTCCCTTGTGGCAGGTGAGGCACCAGCCTGGTGAGAAAAGACCGAGATCCGAGGCCTTTGTGTGGAGCGGGACGTTCAGGCTGAGATCTCCGCGAGTCAGATCCCGCGAGGCCTTAGTTATTATTTCCCTATGAGACGTCTTCATTCGACCTTCTCTGACCCAGGTCGCATCGCCCATCCCTGTTTCCTCACGGCATTTCCTTGGTACAGTGTTCCATTAACTCCGGTCACTTCACCACTTGACAGTTTAAAGGCGGGCTCCGTATACCCGAATCGTCTCCCTAGCAACCGCGTCTCCGAAGACCGCCGGAAAAGGCTATGATCACGTGCGCTGTGAACTTCCGGGTTGTCAACGTGACTTCCGGTTGTCAGTTTCTCCGGACGCGGTGGCGGCAGCGGCGGCGGCGGAGGAGGAAGAGGAGGAGGAGGAGGGAGAACTGTGCGGCCCCAGTAGTGGTGGGCTCCAGGGGGCTCGCCTCGTCCTGCCCCGCCTGCGATGCAACCGCGGCGCCCGGACGGGTTCGATGGCTTGGGCTATCGCGGGAGTGCACGGGATGAGCGCGGTTTTGGCGTGGCCTTCCCTGCAAGGTCCTTCAGCTCCGGGCCGGAGCTGGGCCACTGGGTGACCACTCCCCCAGACATCCCCGGGAGCCGCAACCTGCACTGGGGCGAGAAGAGCCCGCCCTATGGCGTGCCCGCCCCCTCCACCCCCGAGGGCCCGGCGGAGGAGCCCTTTCCCGGCGGCGGCGGCGGCGGCGGCAGCCTCGGCGGCGTGCCGGGCCCGAGCACGGGTGAGGGACTCCGGGAGCCAGGCCGGGGTGAGGGGACTGGCGGGGCGGCGGCCCGCGGACCCCGGGAGCCGCGCCGAGGGTCCCGCCTTCGGATCCTCGGGTTCTAATCGCGCGCCACACCCGGCGCCCTCCCCGCGTCCTCTGCCCTTGAAGCGGGCCTCCTCTCTCGTCCTCGCACGAATGTTTTCTCCGGGGTGACTTCCAAAAAAAAGACACCTGTCTTAGCTAATTCAGTGACCACTGCATTTACTTGATGTGGTTCGTTGTAGCTTTGTGTTCTGCAGAGTATTGTGTGTGTGTTTTTCAGCATGGACAGGCTTGGGCTCAAACCCGGCTCTACCGGTATTAAAAGCTGAGAGACGGTGTAAACGTCTGTGAGCCCTCAGTTTTCTCATCTCTAAGGTGGATAGAAGAATAACAGGGTTTTTTTTAAGGGTTAAATAAAATGAGATGTGAGTGATGCACAGTACGTTGTGGAGCAAATATGTGTTTCCTTCCTTTTCCCTTTTAATTAAAGCAGTTGAGTCTGTTTTCTAAGCCCCAAAATACCCCCTGGCATCAAACCCCTTTTTGGTAGAAGAGAAAATGTTTATACTTTCCCGTTTTCTTCTGTTAAAACTTAATGATAATATCAAATTGAGCCTCACTCATATTAAATGATTCGCTTGAAATACATAGAGAAGTTGTAATTTTATTCTTTTTTATTTTTAATGGGCTAGTAACACTTTTCTACTTACATAAATTATAGACCCTAAATTCATGTACCCCAGGGGAACTCTGTAAAGATTTATGGAATTGAGAAATGTACCCACCTTCTGCTTTTTTTTTCTGACCTAAAAATTCCTCTAACAAGCAAAAATCACTTGATACAATTTCAAGATAAGACTTTGAATTCAAGACATAATTATTTTCCAAAGGATTGTCAGAAGACCTGTCTTTTAATTGCAATACTTTGTGATTTAGATATTCTCAACATCTTTTTTTATTCATAAAATGGAAATAATGGCACCCTCTTCCCATTCTCCTGAAATTGTTAGAATAGTAGATTATATTAAACTAGAGGCCCGGTGCACGAATTCGTGCACAGGTTGGGTTTCTTGGCCTAGCCAGGGATCCAGCCGATTGGGGCCATCTCACCCAGTCCTGATGGGAGCTGGTGGCTAACCTCCTGCAGCCCCTCCTGCTGGCCAGGTGAAGGGGCCAGTGGGAGGTTGTCCGGCCAGGGGAGAGGGACTGTGGGAGGTTGGCTGTGAGAGCACACTGACCACCAGGGAGCAGCTCCTGTGTTGAGCATCTGCCTCCTGGTGGTTAGTGCACGTCATAGCAACCAGTCGACTGGTCGTTTGGATGCTTAGCCTTTTATATATATAGATATAAATGTAAGTATATTTATCATTGAATATAAACTATAAGTATATTTTAAACATCAGTTTTATTCTCATTTCTTCTATTTTGACTTGCAGGTATAATAAGATTGATTTGGGATAACTAGGAGGAATAGACTTTACATGCAGTATGATAAGCAAATGATGTGGAGCTGGACCAGTGATTTAGTGTCATGCAATTAGCTCGTTCACTCTGTCTGGTTTTCTTTCTGTTGGTCCCAAGAGGAGTACTGGAAAATTATAAATGAAATAATTCAAAATGTATATATACCTGCTACATAGTTACATTCTTAGGCAGTAAAGTTTAAACTGTTTTTTCATAATTTATGCTTTGATGGTTACAATGAGGAGGAGCTCTTAATGTAACTAGGGCTGTTGTTTTTTAGCACCAGTAAGAGGCTGGTGGGTCTACTTTGCAAGGTGGATAGAAGCTTGAGAGCATTATACAGTTAACAATAATAAACCTTCCTAATACCTTCCAGAAAATATGGTATTTTCTGTTAATATTAGGGGATGATCGGGACACACAAAAAGGGGAAAGAGCTGAAGGAAGGAAATCCCCTAACTTGGGCAAAGAAAAGCTATCTCGCTTATACATTTTCCAAAATAAGGGTGAACCAAATAATGTCCTCAGGGACATGTTTACATGGTCTTGTTCTAACTGTAAGGAAATAGTGTGTTGCTTCATTTAACAGAGCAGAGTTGAGAGAGAGTGGGGAGATGGGATAAGAGAGGAGAGAGAGAAAAGAGATTGAGAGCCCTTTATTGCCCATTTTGATTCTTTCAATTTAATAATTTTGTGGTGTTTTACTTGTGACTGTTGGTTTAACATAGATGCTCTCTACCACTAACAGTGAATGACTAATTTCTAATATGGGAGGTAAAGTTGTTGGTGTACGTATCAGAGCTTTCTAGAGAAAAAATTGTATGTTGTTTGCAGTCAGAAGTTACAAACTGGTAGCCCTTAGATTCTACCTGCAGATATGTTTTATTTGGCCCACATAATGTTTTACTGCTTTTAAAAATAGTTGACAATCTTTTTTATTAAAAGATACCGCATAAAAATAATTTTTTTTAGAAAAATCACAGCTAAAAAACCAACCCTGAGCCCACAGTCCCACATTGCAACAATGAATTGGAGCTGAAGAGCAATTGTGCCTTGCAACTTGCCACAAGCCCAATAGAGTTCTTCACTCATTCAGATGAATTCCCTGGCCCCTATCAGGACTTGACTTGGGGACCTGGATTTAAATGAATGTCATGTTAATAAAAGAAAATATTTTTTGTTGTTCTTTACAGTAAATCTAAATATTGGTTATGAGTAATCTTATTTCTTCTATTTTAGAACAGTTGAGTAGATTTGCTGGATTTGGTATTGGACTTGCAAGGTAATGTTTTATCTAAATAATTTTAATTTTTATTTATAGTTTTTACTGTTATGATAAATGATTAGTAGTGTTCCCTTTAGATTGATTCTTTGTAGCAGTAGATTAAATATTGAATAATATTTTGCAGAAAAAATTATTTAAAATTTATAAGTTAATTTTTTCCCCCAGTAAGGACAGAGAATAGTCATTAAATTTTATAATCACAAAATAATTTTTAAGGAATAGTGTTACACCTTTCATATGTATCTATCCAAAGAGTAAATCATTAATTCTAATGTTATCTATTCTCCTCCAAAAACCAAGTCATTTTACAATGAATCTTTTTTTTAAATTGAATTATAACAAGATATTTAGCAACATGGAGTCTAGGTTTCAGGTATAGTCGGCATTTAATGAGCATCTTTTTTCTTTTTTATTTTTAATGATTACTTTGTATTAGAAAAACCTCTAGTCTTGATTTATGTGACCTTTAGTGAATACTGTTTCAAAAATACTGGAATTGCACAAAGGCTGATATATGCTAACATAAGTCATTGTTTTAAACATTTTAATCAAGAAAAAAATGACCTTATTTGTATAATTAAACTTGAGGATGTTAATATCAATAGAAATAAAATTTGTGTATTAAGGATTTCCTTGTGCTGTAGTGAATTTTTCTTCAGTCTCACCGTTTATACTTAAAAGTTATTATCATCCTATATAATAAAAGTCTAATATGCTAAGTGTCCAACCATTCATTTGACCAGTTGCTATGATGCACACTGACCACCATGGGGCAGATGCTCTGACCGGTAGGTTAGCTTCCTGCTGGGGTCTGGACGGGGTGAGACAGGCCAGGCACACTCTGGAGCCCTTCCACGGTCCCTTCCTGGCCAGCCAACCTCCCGCAGTCCCTCCACAGCTGGCTGGCCGGCCCTGATCAGAACTGGGCGAGACGGGCTGGACATGCCCTGGAGCCCTCCTGCAGGGATCAGGCCATAACTGGCTCTCCGACATCCCCCGAGGGGCCTTGCATTATGAGAGGGTGGTTCTTGGGTGACACACCCCGGAATCGGGCTCGCTCCTCTCTGCTTCTGGGTGCGTCACCTGAGAACCCCAGCTGCCAAGTAACCACAACTCGGCAGCTCCTGCGTTGGTCATCTGCCCCCTGGTGGTCATTGGGTATCATAGCTACTGGTCGGATGGTCGCTTAGGCATATCTATCTATCTAGGTAGATAGACGCATCTATATATAGGTGAGTGTGTGTAGATGTGTGCATACCCATGCAGGCATGTGTTACTGTTGGTACTTAAGCCACAGTTGTAATTAGTTTGTGGGAAATATTTTCAGAACTATTCTGTAAATAAAATACTAATCAATTAACATGGTCATTGAAATCCCTATAACTTAAGCGCAAAGTACATCAAAAACAAAATTTATAGAATGAGATTCATGAAAAATAGATAGCTCTTCTGATAGGAACTTTGTGCATAAGACATCTGAAAGAAATTGAAAGGGGCATTTAAGTTGTCTAGGAAAGGAGTTTCCCATATTAGATATACAGAAATGTCGTTTCATCTTTATATTATACATGTTAGTATTATATATTATTTCCCTTGATTATCAGTTTCCAAATCTGGCTTTAATTCTTTTCATGTTGAATTTTGTTACTGGTACAGTGATTTGTAAACATGGTATTTTTTTAATTGTTTTTTTTTTTTTATTTTAAGAATGGGAAACATAAAATAATGCATGATTCTTCAAACAAAATTTATTTCAGATGTTATAAATTAACTTTTAAGTTATATTACATATGTTTATAAATTGTTCTTATATAGTCTCTTTACAGAAAATGTACTGGCTCATCCTTGCATTGTTCTACGCCGCCAATGTCAGGTAAATATACTTCCTATGCAATAATCCCAACTCTGATTTGAAGTACAGAACTCAGCCCAGCTGGAGTGGTTCAATGGTTGAGTGTCCCCACATCCCAATGAGAAGGGAGTGGAATATGTGCTTCATCCTAATACTTTAAAAAAATTATTTCACTTAAGTATTGGTCCTGACCCCCTGAACTGATTTTATGATTTGCTAATTGTTTATAACTTATAGTTGGAAAAATACTAACCATTGGGAGACACATATCTCCTGTTCCTGAGTTCTTTGTGGTTCCTGAATGCTTTGCCACACTAAATGTAATTTGACTATTTTAGGAAACAAAAATATCAAACCAAAAGGCCCTATTACATATGCTATATTATTGTGCATTTGTTTTCAGGGTTATATTTATATAACGATATATACTTTACTTTTAATAGTTATTTAAAGCCCTTTTAAGAGTAATTTTGCTTTGCTTATGTGTAATTTATGCTGACTTTAGAATTGAACTTTTGTTTATGATGTGACTCCACACTATTTCTTTCATACCCTTGTCATTTCTTGCAAAACAAAAATAGAAAATAATTATGAAATATATTTTTTACAGGTTAATTACCATGCTCGGCATTATCATCTCACTCCATTTACAGTCATCAATATTATGTACAGCTTCAATAAAACTCAGGTGAGAATTAGTGTATAGATTTTGTTAAAATTATTTATGTGTCATTTTGCCTTAGTAATAATTAAAGCAACAGTAATTTCTTATAATCTAGTTAATAAAAATATCTTAACTCTTGTACTAAAACTAATGTAACATGATAATGGAATCTTTTTGGTGTCACTGAATAATCAGTGAATTTACATCTTTGCCAAAATTAATTAAATATTAGTGGTATTTAATCAGTAGTAGAGATACTCAGTTAATTGGAATGTTCATCTTGGCCTAAACATAGGCTACCAAAAAATATTAAAATAATGTTAGAAATTAGTTTAGTTGTAGTTTTCCACTAAAATGTCCTTTTAAATAATGTCTCATTGGAAATACCAGTAAACATTCAATATCAAGTTTTATTAAGTCTCTTTTTTTGGTGTTTCTTATTTACCAATTAACAAAAATAACAATAAATTTTGTTTATTGCAGGGACCAAGGGCCCTTTGGAAAGGAATGGGAAGTACATTTATTGTCCAGGGAGTCACACTTGGAGCAGAAGGAATAATTAGTGAATTCACACCTTTACCAAGGTACCTTTTTTGGCATTTTCTCAATATTAATGTCATATTAAAAATATAGCAAAATATGATAGTTTCTAATAATACATTAAATTTAAAAACTTGATTTGCCTGAAGTAGCTAAGAGGAGAAACAGAAAATAAGTTTAATTGCTATCTTATTGAATTAGCGTATGATAAAGATAAGTGTTTCCTGGTATAGTATCTATTGAGATATATCTTTCAGCTCCTGCTGCTGTGTGTCAGCAACTAGCAATTAAGGAATAAACAAGTATGTGAGTAATTCCTGCTCTTTAAGTAGCTAGTTTGATGAAGGAGACACATGTAAACAAATTACAGTACATCATTATGTGTTCTATAATTAAACCCCTTTCAGAGCCCAAGGGACACTTTGCATAGAGTTATTGTTAGGATTTCAAAAAAGAACTGAAATCTGAGCTAAGTTTTGACTTATGGTCAGGAATTGACTTGGCAAAGGAGGAGAGGATTCAGAGTAGAGGTGACAGCATGCCCATTGGAGGTTGGAACATCTGGGTAATAAGTGTCTTATGCTAAGAATAGTGAGCATGTATGGAGTGGAATAGAAGGAAACGAGGTTAAGATGCTAAACTGAAGCATGGCAATGCCTTTGTAAGGGATATAGGTTTTATTCTCTGTGAAATTGGGAATCGAAGGTGTTATTTGTTGTTTCTTGTTGGTAACATATGGGTGATTTGATCAAGGATAATATTCAAGTGATAGTGTGGGAAAAAAAAGAAAAAAAGACTGTTGTAGACTGTCAGTAATATAGAAAAAAGAAAAAGAAAAAAAGACTTGTGCAGAACTGTCAGTAATCTAGGCCAGATTGAGAAGGGTTTAAACTATGGAATAGAAGAGAAAACAATGAGCTGGAGAGACATTTCTGAAGTATATTTGATAACTGGTGATAGATTGGGAATGGGCATATGGGAGAGTGAATTGTCATCAGTAACTGAGATTTCTAGATTGGAATCAAGTTGAAGAATTCATGAAGGAGAATAAGTTGGAATGGGAAAGAAGATAAGAAATTTAACTTTCAATAGATGATGTTTGAGATTTCTGCAAGACAATTAGGGGGAACATGTCTAATAAGTGGTTGGAACCGTGGGTCAGAGTCTTAGAAAAAAATTTGAAGCTGAAGTCATAGCTTTGAATGTAGAGATATAAAAGCAGCAGTTGAAACATTAGGATGGATGCATTTCCAAAGGCGATAATGTAGACTAAGTGACAGGAAATGGACCAAACACAGAATCCTGGGTAATGTGTGAATGCACACATAAGTGCCATACCTGTATGTGTATTAGGAGAGGTAATTGAGGGGAGTAATAAGAGATGATCACAAAACTCATTGAAAATAGCAGCAAACTGTAGGACAATAATGTCATCAAAGCCAAGAGAGGTGAATTGGAATTGTTAGATACATTTGCAGGGAGAGGGTAGAGAAATTGGGTAAATTTACTTGTGCACCTGTTTTCTCTCTGAAACAGGATACAGGTCATTAGGTGAAAGAAGAATGAGGGGAAGTATGAAAAGAATGAGGAACCTAGGTTCTTAAACTTAATATGTTCTTGAAGGCTGTTAGAAAACTGAGTCATGTTTTCCCATTAGAAATAATGTAAATTGAATTAATCTGTTCCAGATCCCCAAATGATTCCCTGCTTTAACTTTTCTTATATACAGTACATATTTAATTACTGATTAATCTATAAGTAAACACTTTAAAAATAAAAAGGACATTAAATGTAAGTGAAAATTTAACAAAAAAGAAATGAAAAATTTCATAATAATAAGCAGCAACAGCAACAACAAATATTCACAGCGTAATTCCCTGAGATGTTAACGTGAGATTTAGTTAACAGTAAAATGACTCATAATCCCGCATTCTCTCCTTTGTCGCCTGAGAGATCAGTGACTGATCATATAGGTATCATCATTGAAAGGGCTGTTGGTTTGAGAAGTGAATTGTTTAAGATGGGAAACATTCGAGAACCAGGTTCAACTGTATATGTTTGGGACAGTCACAGCTACTATGTGTAACAGAAGGCCAACCTTACTAGGAATATATTAAAGGAATGGTAATAGATAGTATTGGAAAACATAAATTAGTGTAAGTGCTATTTGGTAGGAATCTTGTGATTTTTCCCTATCAACACTAGATCCCAGAGATAGCATTAAAGATCTTGAATGGTTTGCTAACGTAATGGTGGTGATAGAAAGGTATTAGCCTCAGAAGCTACTGTGGTGGTTCATTCTATCCTAGTACAGTGTAAAAAAGAGATTTTGAATGGTTTGTTGATCCAAAGGTGGCCCCTGGCAGGTGAATTTTTGGGGTTGATAAGGAAGTGACGTTGTTGCCGGTACAAGTCAACTGGCATCTCAATCTTGGGATTCAGTCATTATAGGGAAGAAAATGAAGACAGGCAAGACTGATAGTAGGCTTTTTGCCAGTGTTTGCTTTCAAGGACTGTATAGTCTTGAAGGTCTTAAATTTCTTTTAACACAGCTTTGCTAATAAATGTTATAAACAAAACAAAACATTTGGCCAGCGACAAGTTTCTCATCATACTTTAAAAATCTGAATTTATGATGTTGGCTAACTTTATTTACCCTATTGCTTTTTATATCACAGGATAAAATGGAAAGTTAGTACTTGTCATCAAATGTTCTTGAAGTTCTGCCAGAAACACAAAATTTTATAAAAATTTAACAAATTTCAGGAATTTCTGTATGGTAAAATGTAAAGAATTCTACATTTGCAGTCAGACACCTTTGGTCCTGCCTACACCACTTTTTAGTTCTGGGAACTTAGGCAAGTATAATGACACTTCTCTAAAGCACAGGTGAAGTAGTAACTTTCACTCCAGGTTGAGAAGGAAAAAAGAAATGGGAATGGGAAGGCACAGAATTTTATCAAACTTTCTCATTCTGTAGACATACAGACACATCAGAGTATGTGGACATTTTGAATCATATTTAGGAAGACATGAGAGGTTATCTTTGTTGTATTTTATCTGGATAATTTTGGTAATAAGTCCCTCTCATTAATTAATTTATTTACTTAATTTACGAATATTTCCTGAGCACCTACTATGTTCTAGGACTAGGTCCTGTACTAGAAATCAGGTATACAATGAGAAGAAACAAAAAGTACCTTAGGTCTAGTATAAGGGACATTCATTAAGTAAAATAATCCCACTAATGAATAACTAAGTACCAGTTGAGATTGTTCACAGAAGAAAAAGAATATGGTTCTGTGAGAGTATTATAGGGTTAGGAACAGTGTCAATAATAAAATGACACTTGTTTTTGTGTAGATTATGCATTAACTATATATATTCATCTATCAAGTGAAAGAAACACGAGTGCCTGATGGCTGCTGAAAGGACAAATAAGTTGCCAACTAAAAACTGCATTGGATTTAGTGTCATGCAGGTCATGGGAACCTTGGCAAGAACTGTTTTTGTTGGAATAATTGGGTAGAAACCAGTTTGGAGTGCATTTAGAGGTGAGTGAGAAGTTAGGACTTGGAAATAGCAAACTTAAAAAGTTGGCTGTGATGAGAGATGAAAAAAATTAGCTGAAGATGAGAGGTTTCAGTTGGGTTGAGGGAAGATTTGTTTAAGAGGGAAGCTATTTGAGCATGTGAAATGAGAGACAATGGAAATTAAAGACTGCTTAACTATAGTTATTTAGACAATGGGGGTGGGGTGGGGACGGGGCAGGCTGGAGAGGATCAATGGGGGAGGGGAGAAGAAAACATGTAATACTTTCAACAATAAAGAATTATTTTAAAAAACAAAAAAATAAAAATTCTATTGTTTTTGTGTAGATTATGCATTAAGACACTATCAAATAGAAAACTATTTTGAGAAAAAGCAAGTCACTTCTCTCAGTTTTGTTGCTTGTTTGAAGGGTAGTTTTTGCTTGTGAAAACAGTGATTTAAATATATTTACACAGGTTTTGGTATTTAATAATGAAATATAAAAAGGTTTAATCACAAGTAGATTTCTACACTACCCTCTTTCCTGAAGCACTTACATGTGCTAATTTAAATTTCTAGACCTGTGGCAGTTAGCTTTACTCATTTTATAAAGGAGTAGAGAATAGATACAAAGAAGAAAGCCTTAATTTGTTATAATTGATTATAAATTTTATTTTTCTCTTTTTTACCTTAATAATCTTCCCTTAATAATTAGTTTTGTATTCAAAGGGAAGGTGGCCCTGTCCTTGCAGAAACAGGCCACAGACCCGTCTGTCCATAATGTTAATAACAGTTTCATGCTTCAAATCAGTGTCATAATAGCCTTGAAAAGAGTAATAGTGCCCAGATGATTGGGAAACCATGTAGCATATTTTGTTTTATAATTATAAAGTCACTGTCAGTAAGATGAAAGGCCTAAATTTTTTTGCATTTTTCATCTTAATCATTAAATATCATCTCGGCTCTATTTTTCTGTGGTTGTTCAGGCCTGTAGTATTCTAGTATTAATCAGAATGTGACCCGGAAGGTTCCCTAGGGTCTAATAAATCAGAGAAGGTTATTCTATTGTCTAAAAATTTCTCTGCAGACCTCTCAGTCTCTTGTAAAATGTAGGAAAGTTCACATACCACCCGTGCTATAATTGTACTGAGTCTGTTTTTACAGCACTTATATTATTAGTGATTAATTATTTTTGCCTTTTTAATGTAAAATATACTTATTCCTTTATCCCCTTATGTTTCTTATATTCACTTACTTGAGATAGAAAATGTTTTCTCAGTTTCCTGCTGTGGCTATTGTGCAGTAAGTGTCAATTTTATCAGGGGAACTTGTAGTAGCTAGTCTCTTCTTTATTTTACACCCTCTTTTCTTTGTTATTCTCCCTCTCCCTTCCTCCTCCTTCCCCTCCCCTTCAATCCTCACTCTCTGACTCTTCGTTTACTCTCCCTTTTGCTCTCCATATTCTTTTCTCTTTTTTTTCTTTTCTCTTGATACAACTTTTTCCTTTTTTGTTCTTTCAGCTTGCCTCTCCTCTTTTTCTTCTTTTTCCTGGTTTCCAAAAGTAACCTATAAATAGCAGGAAACACCCAGTGCTAGACCTTGGTTCCAGATCTAGCATTTCTTCTGTGTCTTTTGAACATGTCCCTGTGACCTTTTTGAAAACCTTTATTTTCTCAAAGTAAAACAAACACAATACCTGCTCTGCTGCTCTCACAGGGTTCCTTCTTGTGTCAGATGAGATGAGAGGGAGCAGAGGCAGAAGCAGACTTCACGTCAGAGACCAGGGTTTAGAGCCCTTGTTTTACTACTAACATTAATCTGCATATAATTACTTCATTTTGTTTATTGTTTTTTATTCCTATTCTTACATACTTTTTAAAGCTTTATTTCTCCCTGTATCCTATTCCTTGTTACCTTTTCCCTTTCCCACCCATTCTTTTTTACTCAACCTATCACTTTTTTAAAAATATTTTTTTATTGATTTCAGAGAGGAAGGGAGAGAGGGAGAGAGATAGAACCATCAATGAGGGGGGAGAGAATCATTGATCGGCTGCCTCCTGCATGCCCCCTACTGGGGACCGAGCCTGCAACCCGGGCATGTGCCCCAGAGGTAACCCTTCAATCCACAGGCCAATTCTCTATCCACTGAGCCAAGCCAGTCCGGGCTCAACCTATCACTTTTATATCTCCTTTAATTTCTCATGTTCATTTTTGTAATCAGTTATAACTTCCTCCTCTGTCACCCAATACAAAAATACTTTGAACGTTGTTTTTCTTTTCAAACCACTACAATTGTTTCAAATGTGTCCCAGAAAGGAAAATGTTTACCATTAGAATATATTTCTCCTATAGATTTTTTTAAATTAAAACTTGATTACCTTTTTGCAAGTTGGGCTAATTCAAGATGTTTTTAAGTAACATGACTTTTGTTTTACTTAAATTTATTTTTTAGGGAGGTTTCACATAAATGGAATCCTAAACAAATAGGAGAACACCTTCTGCTGAAATCGTAAGTGAAATTTATATTGAAAATTTATATTAATTTTTATAGCATTATAACTGAAAATTTTATTAAATAACTATACTGAAGGAAATTAGAGCAATGAAATATTTGAGAGACTAGAATTTCAAAGGACAAGTTACAGGGTTTAGGAATAAAAATCCTGAACTATTATTATCTTTAAAATAAATCTTTCTAATTTGAAAGGGTGAAATCACAACCTAATTTTTCTTTGTGTTCTTAGGAAGTTAGCAGAGGTCCTCAACTTTTTAAACACAAGTTGCCAAGAAAATTATTATTATTATTTTATTATTAACTAGAGATAACAAATTTATTTGTATGGTGATAAGTAAACTAAAAAATGTAGTCCTGAAGGCACTTAGTGATTTTACAACATTGACCATTTTCGTAGATTAGAATTTTACTCTTCACTTTTTAATTTTTTTTGAAGATTGTGAATTGGAAACCCCCCTCCAGCTTGCTGGCTCCCTTGGTGGGGCATTCTAGCTCATTATTACTTAGTGATGTTCCATTCACCTTGAAAACCTACTACTTGCCAGGACCTGGCCCGTAGGGTTAGGTAAGTCCCACCTTGATATTATTTTAATAACTATATTTTGCAGGCTTGCAAAGTTGTAATATTACTCTGCCTAATATTAGTGGTAGGAAACAACTTTGCAAAGCTGTACAATATTGTTTTTTAATAATAAAAGGGGACTTCACTTACCATTGAAGACTGGCTTAACTCTGCTGGGTGGGAAATCTGGGAATGGATAATAATAATATAGGATAATAGCAGAACTTGTTCAGATATCACTGAGAAGGCAAGCAATAGAATGGATCCCACACCCTATATTTTAAGTGTCAGAGTTATAGGCTTCATTACCTATGTGCAGGTAGAGGTCCAAACAATGACTCAAACGAGCCTCCATTCCATACTGCTTTAAAATAAAATCTATATTCTTTGCAGGCTGTCCCTGTGTTATTATTAATACTTAATGTTTCATTTCTAATTGTTGAATAAAGATTTTCTGTTACAGGTCTCTTAAGTATCTTTAGGCTATAGGTATTAATAGTTGAAAACCTTACAAATATAACTCAGGCTTGAATATAAATTATGTTGATACATTAAAGTAGATACTAAAAGATCTTATATAATAAAGAGGGAATATGCTAATTGACCCTCACACTGTCGCAAAGATGGCGGCGCCCACAGCCAATAAGGTAATATGCTAATTGACTGCCCCGCCCTCAAAAATGGAGCGCCCACAGCCACAACATGGCGGCACCCAGTCCCCCTCAGCCCCGCTTCACGCCTGCCTCCGGAGTCCCCCAGTCCCTTCAGCCCCCTGGCCGCCCACGGCCAGCCCGAGGCACAGGCAAACCTCGGATGGCGGCTGCCTAGCCGCCCAGGGTTGGCCGAGGCTCAGGTAACCAGGGCTGGCCGAGGCTCAGGTAAGCAGGGCTGGCCGAGGCTTGTGCTGCCGGCAGTGTCAGCAGCAGAGGTGTGATGGGGCTTTGCCTTCCCCTGATTGCTGGGTCACCTCTTGCCCCTGAGGGCTCCCGGACTGTGAGAGGGGATAGGCTGGGCTGAGGGACCCACCTCCAGTGCATGAATTTTCATGCACCAGGCCTCTAGTTTAGTGTAAGTATCTTGTTTCAATAAACTGATGTTTGTTTTAATTTCTACAGCCTAACTTATATAGTGGCAATGCCTTTTTATTCAGCAAGTCTGATTGAAACAGTGCAGGTAAGCTATTTTTTATGGTCATTTTTTACTTAATAATGTTTTTGGAATATTAAATGTATTATTTATGCCTGGTTGTATAATAGAGAAATTTAAAACAGTATCCTTTTAAAATTTTATTTTGCAAATACACTTACTAGCACTTTGCTGGTAAGTATATTTCCTTTGCAAACCTACTTCACACTTTTAGTTTTAATTTATTTTATCCCTTCCGTAAACAGCTGTATACTCTTTATCCAGATATCTCAGAATCCAGCCTATGACTTGCTTTGAATACAAAAAATCCAAAGGGTTGTGTTGTTTTTTTTCAACTTTCTAAGACACAACTCAGAATGGTTATGGCTTGTCATAGGTCAATAAATTAAGCATGAAACACGATAATCATCCTAACAGTGAGAAGGTAGTCTGCATAGTAGTTTACTAACAGCATTCTTATTAAATATGCTTTTTAAGGAACATTTGATGCTGTGGTGTGGTAAGTGCTACAAAAGCTAAAGCAGTCTCCTGCTAGTGTTTTAAATTGTTTTATTATTTCTAACCACAGGGTGGCGCTCAAGTACATCAAATTCATAGATTTTTTTTCACCATTGGGTTCTTACACTTAAAACTGTCAGATGAAGATAGTTTAACTTCATCTATACACAAAATCCAATTAATTGTTTATCACCTATCTGCCATCTCCATCATCACATCCTCTAGCATATTATTTGTCTTCAATAAGTATGAATTCCTTCTCTATAAACACCTCAATGGATCAGCCTTTTCTCTTGAAATTACTCTTTTCCATGTAATTGCTTTTCTGGCCCCATTGTTGATTATTTATTTATTTATTTATTTTAGAATTGACTTCAGTTAACAGAAGTTAACATCTTGCTACTCAAATATACTTTTCTCTGCTTTTGCACTTGGCATTGTGTTAAATAAATGATATTACCTTTGTTTGGGACTACAGCTTACAGTTATTACTCTATGAGATATTCTCATAAATAAGGAAAAAAACAGCAAGAAGGTGATTGTTTAAGAAAAAACAAGCAACATGATATTAAGTATATCAGAATCACATGTCTGTTTAGATCTGTGACTTTAAACAAATACCTTAACCTTTCTAAGTCTTAACTTTCTCATCCATAAAATGGGAACAGTATTTTAATAACTGGGCTGTAAAAATTGAGTTACTTATATAAAGTGCTCAGCTCACTATGCTTGTTTGCTTATTTAACCCAGTATCTACCCCTCTTTCCTGCTCCAGGTTCTACCTGCTAGTTGCCTCATTTTGATTTCTTTGGTCTGATTTTCTAGACATCTTTTTATGTCTTCTTAAGTTTCTCCTCTTGCACATCTTCCTCTTCTTTAAGTAACTTCTTTGCCACCTGTTCTACCATACTCTGATACATAGTCCTTGACCCTGTCTGCTTTTATCCTGTATTCACCATCCTGGAGAACTCACTCACTCTCATGAATTGTTTTGACTCTGATCTTTAAAATGTGAATTAAATCATCACCTCAAGACTCAGCGCATAAAAACAATATTGTCTTATTCCCCTGAAAATTAGCTTCCTTTTGAGCATCTCCTTTCTTATTAATGTATTATTGTTATCTTCACCCTAGAGACTTAAAACTTTAGTTCTTATTTTTAGAAATGTCTTGGTTTTTATATTTCTTTCATCCTTCATAACCAGGCAGTCATTATGCCTTCTTAGTTCTAAATCCAAAACGTAACTGAGATTTGTCTGTTTCTCTCCACTGAGAGGCAACCATTCCCATCCCTTCTTTATCACATACTTGGTTTATTATGTTAGCTTCTTTCTTCCTTTTTTACGTCCAGTGGGTTTTTGCCCTCCTGGGAGATCGTTGAGAACATTCTTCCCTTGAAAAATACACTTTCATACATAGATCTCCTCAAGACCTCCTTGGTCCCTTAAATATGAACTTCCTAGTGAGCTGTTGTCTTCATTAACAATCCTTGTTCTAGTCACTGCATTCCACATCAGTGTAAGATTGATGTTCTTCACTTTCAGTTCTTATATCCTTTTGCTGATTAAGGATCCACACTGACTCATACTTCCTAAAATCAATTTCAGACTTTTCAGCATAGTATTCAATTAAGGTTTTTACTGACTACACTTTACCTTTTCAGTTAATCTTCCTTAACTGATCATTTTTTTTAAACATCATTAAATATTTATTGAGTGTCAACCTATATCAGGCACCATTATAGACCTTGGGGCTATAACAGCAAACAAAACAGACAAAAATAGTCTGCCTTCATAGAGTTATATTTTTGTGGGGAAGATAAACATAAACAAAATCAATATAAAGTATACTAGGTGGTGCGTAGTGCGAAAGAGAACAAAACTAAAGCAAGGAAATTAAATAAGATTAATGGGTTGAGAGGAGCAGCTATTGTTTTGTTGTTTTTCAATCAGAAAGGCCTCACTGAGAAGGTAACGTTTGAGTAAAGATCTGAGCATATGAACTACTTAGATATTTGGGAGAAGAACATTCTAAGCAAAGGAAAAGTAAGTGCAAAGGCCCTGAGGTCAGATTGTATTTCATGTGTTTGAAGAGCAAAAAGGGGGGCAGTATAGTTGAAGCTCACTAAGCAAGGGGGAGAACAGGAGGAGATGAGGACTGAGAGGTAAGAGGATGATAAATCATAAAGGACATTTTATTTTAGGTCATTGTAATAATTTAGCCTTGACTTTGAGGGGCATGGAAAGTCTTTGGCATATTTGAACCAAAGAGTGATTCTAACATGTCTTCATTAGGATCTCTTTCGCCGCTGTATTAAAAATAGACTAGAGTGGGAAAGGATCAGAGATTGGTAAATGGACTAGGTGAGCTGATTTTAGTCTGTGGTTTTAAATGTATTATATTTACTGAAAACACATTGATATGTTCAGCTTGAAGCTTTTTTTAATCATTTAAAATGTAAATGTAAAAGTTTACCCCTTAGACTTAACATTTCTGAACTCTTGATTTCTCCCCAAAATGCTACCCCATCCATATTTCCCAACCCAGTAAGAGCCATTGCTATTCCACTTCCTCTGGCCAACAGCCTTGAGGTTATCCTTCACTTCTCTCCTTCATACCCAAATCCAATGCACCAGTAATTCTTATTGGCTGTAATTTTAGGATAAAAGCACAATTGACGCACTTCCCTTCCATTACTACCTGGTAGTCCATCATCTCTTTTCTGGATTATGTAATAACTTTTTAACTGGTTTCTCAGCCTTCCCTCTTGTTCTCTGCACAATAGCCAGTGTTAACCTAAATTATATCTTTTCCATCTTCTGCTTAAAACCAGATATTTTTCCATCTGATTTTTCCATCTGACTAAAAGCCAAAGTCTACTCAATGGCATGATATGGCCCCTGACTACTTTATAACTTCATTTTATACTTTCTCTTCTTCAATCATTACTGTAGCCAAATTGGCTTCTTGCTGTTCCTTTTCTGCCTGTCCATGACTCTGACCTGTATCACAAACTTTGTTATACATATCCTCAAAATTATAGATAGGCAGAAACATTGCAGATGATAATGACATTTATTCAGTGTCTTCCGGCTTTCAGGCCTTTTTTCACTTAATCCTATTATAAATTTAAAATTATAAATCCTATTATATATAGGATTTATATCCTATTATATATAGGATATAAATCCTATATAAAAAATTATAAATCCTATTATATGTTTATCCTATGGATAAAACATAGGTGGTACTAATTCCATTTTTATAGAATGGTAAACTGACTGTTAGGAGAAGTTAAATAACTTGCCAATGGTCATATAACCAGTAAGTAATGGAGGCAGGGTTGAAACCCATTTGTAAGAATTCTAAGCACTATACTACCTCTTTTGGTGTTATGGAGTTAATGTGTTTCAAAATTATTTCTAAGGAGCTTCTTGAGGCCGGGGGAACCAGGTGTGTCCCCACCCACATCTCCTTCTCTATTTTCCTTGTCCAATAAAAGTAGCTTCCACTTCACTGCTATCTGTTTTATGAAATTTCATTTGAAAAAAGAATTTAACACCTAGGTAACATTTGAAGTCTGTAAGCTATTGATGTTTTCCCTTTTTGGTCAGCAAATTAGTATTTAAAAGAAACCTAAAAAGACCCCTTTTGGGGGGGCAAAATAAGCAAATATTAACTTCCACTCATTTCATCATTTTTATTTTAGAGTGAGATAATTCGAGATAATACTGGGATTTTGGAATGTGTTAAAGAAGGCATCGGAAGAGTGATAGGCCTGGGAGTGCCTCATAGCAAACGACTACTTCCTCTTCTCTCCTTGATCTTCCCCACGGTGCTGCATGGGGTTCTTCATTACATCATCAGCTCCATCATTCAGAAGATTGTCCTACTAATTCTAAAGAGAAAGACTTATCATGGCCACCCAGCTGAGAGCACTAGCCCAGTGCAGAGTATGCTGGATGCTTATTTTCCAGAACTTATTGCTAACTTTGCTGCCAGTCTTTGCTCTGATGTTATACTTTACCCCTTGGAAACAGTTTTGCACCGCCTTCACATTCAAGGAACACGCACAATAATTGACAATACAGACCTTGGCTATGAAGTGCTTCCAATTAATACACAGTATGAGGGAATGAGAGACTGTATCAATACCATAAAGCAGGAGGAAGGAATGCTTGGTTTTTATAAAGGGTTTGGTGCTGTTATAATACAGTACACACTGCATGCAGCTGTCCTACAGATTACCAAAATCATTTACTCTACGCTTCTTCAAAACAGCGTTTGAGATATAAGTTCCCGATTAGTCTAAAAGGCACAATCTGGACACTTTGCTATGAAATTGTAGGGTATAAAAGTGATACTGGGGGGGAAATGGAATATAAGTGAAACTGGTAGAGAAAGCCCATGCTCATTATATTGACTTTTTTTTAAGGCCTAGGTCTCTTTGGGATCAAAAGTATTCCAAATTTGAAAACTCAATAAAAATAATACTCATCAATTAAATTCTAGCTAGTGTAGCACGCATACTGAACTAAAATTGGTCTTGAGCAGAAGCAAAAATTTATCAGCAAACACAAAACAAAATTTTACAGAACTGAATTTATTCCATCTAACTTTAATATTTATTACATGTTAATTTTACCTTCTTGGTTGATATTGGTATGCCATTCTTAATATATAGTATCAAGAGGTCATAGTTTACCTTCAAGCAAATAAATATGTAACCAATGATAATGATGAGAAGGATTAGATTTGGCAATCTGTAATCAGGAGTTGAAGTTTTAAATTGTATTATCCTTATATAACGTTTTAATGGCTGCATATTTATTACATAAAGCCATTTATGTTCACATACAAAACTTGGAATTTCCTTCCTTTCAACAAATTTTCCATCTTTAGATCAGCTTAATGCATAAGATGAAGTCACACACTTTCTGCTTAAATATAAAAATAAAATATTAAAAGCCAAGTTATCCAAAGATTTAAGGCAAACAATACACTTGTCTATATCCAAATACAGCATTTCGGTGCCAGCAACTTAATATTCGTCATATGTTTATAAAGCTTGATTTGCTTACCTAGTTATGTGAATCATCAGGCTGTTTTTAGAGCCACTCTTAACAGAGATAGAAAATAAAATAATCATGACAACTATTACTGTTTCTAAATTTAGAAATTGTGTACTGAAAGGAATGTCACTTGTCTTTCATTTCTGAATGACCTGTCTTAGTGGAGACGCAATTAAAATTCACCTGGGAATTTGTGCCTCTTGCCTTCTGTATAGTTATCATAAATTAATGTCTTCAGTTTTTATTCCAGGTTTGTTTAAAATTTCATACTCGAAACTAGATATACATAAATGGAAAAGCAGGTCTCTCCATATCGCCCTTTATTTAAACTTGTTTGGATGAATACTGAAGAAAAAATATAAACTTTAAAGGAAGTTTGTCCTCGCTTTTTATGGATGAGGTAAAGAGGTAAATTTCAATAAATAAGCAAAAAAATAATCAGTTTAATAAAAAAAGTTGTATGTTCCTAAATGGATGAAGCTCTTTGTGTAGTAAAATGATATGCATTTGACTGATCCATCATTAAACATTTTGAAGTTTCATTTCCTCCTGTAAGTGGTCACAGTTTTACTATGAGCCATGTAGCACACTGAAGTGCAGTGACTTTGCACTTACATTTTCCAACCAGATTTATATATAGATTTATTTTAGTTGCTAAATATCAGCGAAGTGGTTACTTTATGTGATTAATAATGTCAGAATCAAAAATGATATCCAGAAAGTGTGAAACAGTATTTAAGTAGCAACTCTCTTTACTATCCTGTGTTGTATGTTTGTGGGTGGTTTTTCCCCCAATTACTAAAACATACAAGTTGTACGTTTTTAAATTTCACCAAGAGAGGAAAAATAAAATTAAACACCACTGATCATATGTATTTTATGGTTATTCCTTCAGATTATGGTTTATTTTGTCCAACATATGGCATTTAAATTATATTTATTGCTTTTAAACTACTAAGTAAATTGTTAGATATTTATATGTCGAACTTCCTCAAAATCCTTTTATTTTTATTATAATCAATGAATATTATTTCAGACAAGAGTTAACTTCTGAAAATTCCAAGTTTCAGAATATTTCTGGAAGAGAATCTGAATGGAATCAAGTATTTACTAGTGGAAATATTGGGATCTTTCACCTAGCTAAAAATTAGGTATTTCAAGATTGATGGAAGTTAGCATGAAGATTCAGTTAGATAACTTTCATTTTGAAATCATTATAAGACTAATAATAGCTTGAACCACACACAAGTAAGGTTAGTCTTGTTTTCTGTCTCTTTGGAAAAAGAATACAAATTAACATCAAAACTAAAATGGAAATGTGGCCAAAAAAATTGAAATGTGGCAAGTTAAAATACTAATTTTTTTTAACCCCTCACCCGAGGATATATTTTATTGACTTTAGAGGAAGAGGAAAAAAGAGAGAGATACATGAAGAGAAACATTGATCTGATCAAACCCGCAACTTGGGAGTGTGCCCTGACCCTTTCGGTGTACTGGACAACACTCTAGCCGGCTGAACCACTCAGCTAGTGCAGAATACTAATATTTTTTACTCCATTCCAAATTAGTTGAAATATAAAAATCTTTAAAATTTAAGCACTTAAATGCTGGCCAAATATATTTAACTGAATTTAGAGAGGAATAAGTGAAACATTGGATATTCTCTTTCCCTTTTTAAAAGTGCTCTATTTCTTTAGTATATAGGTGCCAAAAGCAAATATCCATGCACTGCATTTCTTTAGGTGATAATAGCTCAGAATAATATTTGTAATTCAGTATGATTAATAGTATTATGAATGGGCATCTATTAAAATATTCCATAGGCCCAATGGTCCTTTCACACAATTGATTTTGGCCATGGACATGAAGTGTAATATGCTTCTCTTACATTGTATGATTTCTTAATTTGAGTCATAGCCAGAAAGCAATTGAATTAAAAACTGAAACACATGATAAATATTAATTTACTTTGTTTAGTGAATTTGTTCATTGCTTTGTTCATTGATTTGCTAAATCTGTTTATAAATTTCTTTACCGTGAGGTACCCTTTCTAGACCCTTGAAAAATAATTCCTAAATTTATCAAATTTAGTCAAGCCTCTAAACTTTCAGCACTAGATGCTATGAGATAGTTAAAAAGCAGCCAATTTCAAAATGGCTCTGGATTGGGGGATGTGATGTCTTGGTTACTGTTTTCACAAACAAAACTGGAGAGGTAAGGAGTCTCGCTCATGTACCTGACTACTCACAGCTGTCTTTTTAGTACTGGCTTTCTTATAACGGCACAAAATATTCATTTTAGGTAAAATGAAGCTTTTGAGCACAAAAGCTTCAACATTTCTCTGTGTTGATAGATCTGCTCAGAAAATAAAATATTCTGCTTTGATACTGGTCTTTTTCACATGCGATTCTGGAGAATGTTTGCCCTCAGTTTGCTTACTCCCATGTTTTAACATAAAGGACTACTTTTCCAGCTCTTGAAAGGATAGGCAGGTTTGAATTAGTTATTTTTAATAATACATAAGCAAATAAAACCCGCTTAGTAACAATCCACATTGCACTAGAATTTCAGTGATCTTAATGTTGGCATTTCTGCTTTCTCTTCTAAATTGTACATTTTGCTTGCTAATGTAATGTCTTTCTTTTGAGTCATTGAGAATCACTGATATGGTACCAAGTTGTATAGCACAGTAGCAACAATTTGGGATTTGACAATGACTCTTATAATATTACCTCAACTAGAAGAGGTGTTTTATCTGTATGTGTATTTTGGTGTATCTTTTTAAGTTGTTTTTATCTCACCGGTGTTTTAAATCTTTTCAGTAAGTTGTGTAACATGAAAAGATTCGATAAAATGTTGAAATAAAATTAGAATTTTTCTATTACTGAAATGTTGAAATAAAATTAGAATTTTTTTATTACTGATGCTGGAGAACTAACTATACAGGCTGGTGATATAGGGGTTTCAGAATATGTCACCCCAAAATATGCCGGGTTGGCATTTGTTTTAAAGGCACTTGAGAAATAGTGGTGCAAAAAGGACATTGCCCCTCTTTGCCCCTCTGAAAGTGGATGATAAAGTTACCCTGCTTGTACCAGGGGGGTAGAAGGCAACCTCATCCTACCAGAGACATGGAATTTAGGCCTGAAAGGGCTGTGTAAATAAACCTTGTTAATTCCTCACCATTTACTTTCCTTAGCCTAAACTCCTCTGCCTTGTCAATTCTTCACAAATGGATGTTTCAGTGTCTAAAAGATAATAAAACTTTCTGCTATGTTCACTTCTTTGCGTCATGTTTTATAGGGCTCCTGTATATACAAGCTTAAATTTTTCTCCTGTTAATTTGTCTTATGTCAATCAAGTTATTAGACTAGCCAAAGAAGAGAAGAAGGTAAATATTTCTACATCTAGATTGCAAAAGGTTACATTTTTGTAAGAAATGAATATCAAGAAAAAATATATATGTAAAATTAAACTTTTTTGCCCACCATTTAAAAAATCCTGTCTTAGTGATGTTTTTATGAATTTGACTCCAAAGGCAAGGGAAAAGAATAAACAAATGGAACTATATCAAACTGAAAAGCTGTACAGCAAATAAAATGACCAACAAAACAAAAAGATGTTATAAGACATTTGCAAATGATATTTCTGGTAAGGGATAACATCCAAAATATATAAAAAACTCATACAAGACCACCACAACAAAAATGATTTAAAAAGTGGACAAAGAATCTGAATAGACATTTTTCTAAGGAAGACATAGTAGGTATACTGGTTAATCGATTTTTTTCAATAGGTGGAGTTACACATATGTTGATATATATGCGATTTGATATGTATGCTATTTTGTATTGACAACAAGCTTCAAAATTTCATGTCAAATTTTCTGAAGGTGTTAACATCATAGGTATTTTTACACTTAAAAATGTCGAATTTCGTGCCCCAGAAAAAGCATTTCCGGGAAGTTTTAATTCATTTATTTTGAAGAAAAGTGCTGCTGAAAAAAGTTACTGTATACTTCGGGAAGCTTATGGTGAACATGCTCCATCTCAAGATACTCGTGAACACTGGTTTAAACGCTTTAAAAGTGATGATTTCAATGTGAAAGACAATGTTCAGGTCAACCGAAAAAGTTTGAAGACCAACAATTACAAGCATTATTGGATGAAGTTGTGTGTCAAACTCAAAAACAGCTTGCAGAAAAATTAAACGTTGCTCAGCAAACAATTTCCAATCATTTACAAGCAATGGGAAAGATTTTAAAGGAAGGAAAATGGGTGCCACATCAACTGAACAAAAGACAAATGGAAAACCAAAAAGTCATCAGTAAAATGTTGCTTCAAGGGCACAAAAGAAAGTTTTTTTGCATTGAATTCTGACTGGCAGTGAAAAGTGGATTTATTTTGAGAATCCCAAATGCACAAAATCATGGGTTGATGCAGGTCAACTAACAACATCGACTGCAAGGCCAAATTGCTTTGGAAAGAAGACAATGCTCTGCGTTTGGTGGGATCAGGAAGGTGTGGTGTATTATGAGTTTCTAAAACCAGGTGGAACCATTAATATTGATCGCTACCAACAACAAATAATCAATTTGAACCACGCTTTGATTGTAAAATGACCAGAATAGGCCAGAAGACACAGCAAAGTAATTTTGCTTCATGATGATGCACCATCACACACTTCAAAACCAGTTAAAGACACATTAAAAGATCTTTCCTGGGAAGTATTAACCCACCCGATTTATTCACCAGATCTTGCCCTTTCAGATTACCACTAGTTCTGATTGATGGCACACGCACTTTCTGAGCAGCACTTCAAAATATATGAATAAGTGGAAAATTGGGTCTCTGAATAGTTTGCCTCAAAACAAGAAAAGTTCTATTGGGATGGTATCCACAAATTACCAGAAAAGATGGGGGAAATGTGTAGCTAGTGATGGACATTACTTTGAGTAAAGCACTTTTGATGTTTCTCTAGAAATTATTGTGTTTTCTTTGATTACAAAATCCACATTATTAACCGATACACCTAGTGGATGGCCAGCAGGCACATGTAAAGATTTTCAACATGCAAAGATTTTTCACTGATTATCAGGGAAATGCAGATCAAAACCACAGTGAGAAATCACCTCACACCTGTTAGAATGGCTGTTATCAAAAAGACAAAAAAGTGTTGGAGAGAATGAAGAACATGAACCCTGGTGCACTGTTGGTGGGATTGTACATTGGTACAACCACTATGGAAACAGTATGGAGGATCCCCCTCAAAAAATTAAGAGTAGAATTACCATATGATCCAGCAATTCCTCTTCTGGGTATTTATATGAAAATACTAACTTGAAAAGATATATGCACCCCTATGTTCATTGCAGCATTATTTATAATAGCCAACATATGGAACAACCTAAGTGTCCATTGGATAAAGAAGATGTGATGTATTATGTACAATGGAATACTACTCAACCAAAAAAATAAAATAAAAGATTAAAATTGCCATTTGTGGCAACATGGGTGGATCTTGAGGGTAAGTTGGCCAGAAAAGGATAAAAATCAGATGATTGCATGCACATGTGGAATATAAAAAAAGAAATGAATGAATAAACAAAAACAAACTCATAGATACAGACAACAGAATGATGGATATCAGAGGGGGAAAAGTGGGGAAGGGCAAATGGACAAAGAGGGTCAAATATATGGTGGGGTATGGAAACTAGACTATTGGTGGTGAACACACATAGTGTATACAGATGTTAAATTATAATGTACATCTGAAACATATAATGTTATTAACCAGTTACCTCAATAAAATAAAATTTTTATGATATAACTGTGATGTGGCTCACAAATCAAATAACATTTTCTAAAATACGGTTTCCTTTGCATTATCTTTTATTTACAAAAGATACATATTCTCATATTTGATCCTTACAACAGTCCTCAGCCATTTTCTGAGTAGTCCTGTGTAGGGAGGAAATAGATATAAGTGGTGGGCATTGCTTGAAAGTGGTGTAAGGTGGGAAAAACCTGTAGCCTCCCATGCAGGACTGATGGTTGAGTCATGCAAGAGACTGCCTAAAGCCAGGGGGGAAAAGCCAGGGAGGGGATTTCTTTGGCAAATTGGGATATTTAAATGTGGTCATGCATACTGGGGAATTTAGAAAGCCACACACATGCCCAGGACAGGACACATGCTCAGAACAAAACAGAAAACCCTAAAAGTTCACTTTTGGATGACCTATAAACTCAGACAGGAAATGAAGGGTTAGGCAGAGTTGTAAACAACCTGGCTTAAGTGTTCAAGGGGTGCCCCAACACAGAGCCCATCCACCAAGTTAAAAGCAACTAACTAAATACAAAGCCAGAAAACAAATTTAGGTCTTGTAATCCAGTTCAGTGTCCCACCATAATGGTACTGGGGCCCAAGACAGGCTGCCCCAAAGTATCCCACAATAACATATTGATTACTTTGAAATAAAACTACTTGACCAGGAGCTGGTGCCAGAAGGGCACCTTGACCCTCCTTGTCTCCTTGAGTGCAGGAAATAAATGCCTGTGAGGGGTGTCTTCCCACACCTGGAAGACACCCTTATGCTAAACAACATAGAACCCAAAAATCTGTGTAATCAAATCTTATTGCAACTTTTCTAATTTACTGATTTTGAATTTCTCATTAACAAATACCCAAACCTTGTTTATATTCTTTTCTAATGAACATTTGACTTTTTTTTGTTTGGTCAGTCTCTCACAAATGTATTGTTTCTTTGTCTAAATAGTATAAAAAGGTGCCTGGTTTGATCATTTCTTTGAGCCTCATTTTATGGTCTGAGCATCGTATTGCAATTCTCCTGTGGGCAAGCATTATTTTTGTTTTTCTCCTGTTAATTGAGTCTTGTGTCAATTTTATGGTCTTATTATTAGTTCAGTCATAAGAACTAAAGAAGGGTAGAGGTGGAAAATTCTCCCCCTCCTGACAATGTTCTAATAATATCTGCTCTTTAAAAATAAGAACAATGGCTAACACTTATTAAGCACTTAGTACAATGCCACATCATTAAGAATTTAAGTGCATGACTTCATACATTCCCTCCAGCACCCTTATAGAGTAGGTACTGGTAGTATCTTTTTTTACAAATGCAGGAACTAAGGCTGGGAGGTTAAGAACTTTGCCTAAGATCAGACAGTAAATAGCATAGCTAGGATTTAACTCAGGCTTGCTCTATTCTTGCACTTCTAGCTGGTCACCAGGTTAAAGTTTGTCTTGCTTTAGTGACATCCAACAGAAGGGCCAAAGGACACTACTGTTCCAACTAACTGATGAATTGCTTCTCTGCTGGATCTGTACTGGTTTCTGAGAGCTCTTTGGTAGGTCCTTTCACAGTCCTCACCATTCCCCTGGAAACAACCTCCAACCTCTCTCTTTTTCTTTGAGCTTCCATAGCCTCTATTCTTTCTTATGACATGGACTTTCTACCTTGTAGTTATCTGTAGCACTTAAGTTTTCAAAATATACTATACATCGTGTTTTCTCCACATTCCCACTGCACATGCATAGACAAAGACATAATGAATTACACAAACATAATACATTGTGGAATGAATAAAGGAATCTTACAAAACTCTGCACCCAATATTGTCTATATATTTTAAACTTATTCCCTTTAAGCTTATCATTTCAAAACTAAAAGTGACCTTTGGAAATCATCTTGACCAAACCTCTAATTTCACAGAATTGTAAACTGAGTCCCGGAATGTTTGGTGATTTTACTAAGGTCACAGAATAACAGAACTGGTACTGCAACCCAGGTCTTACCACTCCCAGGCTGGTTTGTCCTGTGTCACCTGCCCCTTACCTTTCATTCACCACTGACTGACTCCCTCCGTCTGTCTAACATATCTTTACAAATATATAAATATATACATGAAACTCTGAGCTCTGTGGCACTTGATAGATCTCACTTTCTAAAAAACAAAATCAACTTGCAAATTTTTTATCTCATTCATCTTTTCTCTTCTTCACTGGCTCCAATTCTGCTTCTGTCCTCAGAGTTTTCCTATGTTCTAAGGCTTACTGTTTTGCCTAGGATATATCATCCACTACTGTTGTTTCAATTGAATTTCCTGTGTTTACCCTCAGTTCCGATTTTCCTCCAATCTCCAGGCCCACATCTCTAATTACTTTATGCATATTGGCACTTGTGTTCTTCACTGTTGCCTCAAATTCAATATATTGAAAGCTAAATTCATTTTCTTTTACAAGCTGGCTGCCTTCTCAATAATG